TTCTGAAGCAAAATCGTATCCCTCGGACCCAACTCTATATGAGTGGGAAGTGAAGAAGACGGATAGCACGCCCGCTGGTGGTGGAGGTTTTGGCGACTGCTTCAGGGGCCTGTTTCTGGGACAACATACGGTGGCAATGAAATGCTCTCGTTCTGATCGAAACATCCCATATCACGTAGCTCTGAGGGTGAGTTCCCCCGTTGGCCCCTTCGGATTTGATGACAATCATCCATCTAAAGCACACAACCACTTCCTCACTTAGAGAGCTGAGCGAGAAATGAAGGTTTGGAAACGTCTCCGACATCCAAACGTACTGCCGTTTATAGGATCTCTTACCCTCGGATCGCCACCAAAATTGTATATGGTGGCCCCATGGATGAAAAATGGTGATTTGAGTAGATACCTAAAGATCCGCGCGGACGTAGACTGCGCACTATTGGTAAGGTCCCAGTACCCATGCTATTATTTCCATATGTGAAACTTGTCCGTACGTCCTTTCGATTTCTGCATCAAGCTAACGCAAATTATATCGGGAATCGAGTATCTTCACACATCCGTACCACCTATCGTACATGGTGACCTCAAAGCAGTAAGCTTACTTCTCTTCGTGGTAGCAATCTATCATCCTAATCGCGCTTTCTATCCCAGGCCAATATTCTGATTTCGGATACCGGAGAAGTCTGCCTTGCAGACTTCGGTCTCTCCGAAATTCTCCGTGATCATGGAAACAATAACAGAGATAGGATTAACAGAAGTTCGACTGTATGGGATTTGGCGGGGAATCCAAAGTGGCAAGCTCCGGAGTTATGGAGTGGCGACGCACAGCGGACGATATTTTCGGACATGTTTGCATTTGGACGAGTTATTTTCGAGGTTGGTACTAGGATGCGTCTTTAACCCAATCCTATCTCATGCTCCCTCTTGCAGGTCTATACAAGAGAGATTCCTTTTGCAGGCATACCCGACGCCCAGATCGTGCTCATGGTCTCTCGTGGAGAGCAGCCTTCAAGGCACAATGAAGCAGAAGCCAAAGCGAGAGGGCTTGATGATGACATGGTGGAACTCATGAAATTCTGCTGCGATCTCGAACCTTACCAACGACCAAGTGCTTCCGACGTCGTCGGTCGCATGCGCTCAGTGCTCAACCTTCGAAAGGCATCCCGACTACTCGGCCCCTTTGCATCCCTTCCGCTTCCCCGTCCCGGCATTCGCCCATTTTCAGGGCCATCTGGTTTGCATAGCTCTTTCCCGGACGGAGCCCCTTATCGCGTTGACGTGCGAAATGTCCCTGGCATGAGGGTTTCCAGTGAACCCGATATCCATGCTCGCAAGCACCTCAATCCAAGCATTCATCGATTCAGGTACCCCCCTCCAGTCTCGCGCATAGTGTCCACTTATTTGCCTCTTGCGACTTTCTTCTCAACGCAGATACAACGATAATCTGGCACCAATAAAAATAGGCTATCCTCTATCCCCAATCAGTTTTAATACTCCGGGCACATCTGGCACCGGCCTCAGCTCCGACTTCCCTTCTTTTGACCCCCGTTTCTCAGAACCTTCGTCGCTCATAACATCATATTCATTAGCTTCATCACCTTGGTATACCGTTAAACAGAGCACCTTGCCTTCATTGAAGGAAAACTCGCAGCCAACACGGCGCTCTTTTAGGGTTGCCCATCCTATACCAATCCCACAAATAATACCCGACGGAAAACTCACTGTAGCGATCGATTTTGGTGGCACCTATTCAGCGGCTGTAAATTATCTCACTAACGTTTCTACAATATCTCAACTGAAGTACTCAAATATGAAATAGGCCTATGGCTCGTCGCAAATCGAAGGTAATTATCGTGCATCTCTCCCTTCTCCTACGTTAAAACAGCCATTTGTTTCAGGGGGTGAGGTTCAGCAGATCCTTACCTGGCCGGGGGCTTCTGGCGAGTCTCCCAAAGTGCCTACGCGTCTGCTCTATGACGGAGATGGGAGATTGATGGCTTGGGGGTTTGAGGCTAAGGATGCGTCGCTTGAGCCAGGCCAATACCTGTGCGAGAAGTGCGTCTCGATGGTTCTCACCGTCAGAGATAAGCCTGACATAATGCAACACAGTTTCAAGTCATACCTTGGACCGCACGCTCCGAACAGCGACCAACTCAATCAACCAAGTTCGCCTTTCCCAGTTTGTTTAACTTACACTTGCATTCGTGTTCGTTGCTTTAACACCCTTGTGCGCCTTACCATGACAGCCCAAAAAAACCGCTCAAGACCTGATGACGGACTTCCTTTCATGTCTGTGGGATTATGTCAAGTTGCAAATCCGCCGTGAAGTCGGTCGCCTCGCTGATTTCGGCGCGTCCTTTGCTACCTTATGGTTTCGTTTTTAACAACTAACTCTAACATCATAGACTCGGCCAATTTCTGGGTCTCCGTCCCAGCAACTTGGAACTCAGTCGATCACGATGAAATGCGCACCGCTGCCATCGAGGCAGAGATAGTGAGAGCAGGTTGGCGCGATAGGAGCTGGCAAGAGCGACTGAAAATTATCACGTGTGTAAACGCTTTAGCATCACTTTATTCGACGACCTTTTTTTTTAGTTACTTGGACATCCTAGGGAATCGGAAGCGGCCACTGCCCATTGCACTTATTTAACAGAGCTGCACCAACTTAAGCCAGGCCAACATTTTATAGTTTGTGATGCAGGAGGTAAGCAACGAATATGCAATGCTTTTGCCAAGAAATAGAGTGTAATCTTGTCCTCGTGTACACAGGAAATAGTGTTGTAAGTGTTTATCCAGGATCGCTTTTCAACTACTCGATGAATCTATTAATCTGTCCAGAACCTTGCCATATATAAAGTTACTGGCTCGTTGACGTCGCTTGAGGTTGCCCAGGTCCACGCGAAGTTGGAGACCAATTGCGGGTCCGTCCAACTTGATATCTGGTTTGAAGATCTTATCTATATGCTCCTCGCTCATCATCCATTGGTCAATGATGTTCAATCTATGGAGCACTTTTCTCAAGCGTTCCGCGAAAGAGAGAAGCCCATATTTACTGGTGGCAATGGTATGATGTTCGCGTTTCTTATATAAGTCACACGCACGCACTTAGCTTAAAGCAGTAGAATATGAATTCCTTTTTCACTGTCACGTGAGTATTGTACCGTCATATAATGAGATGTTTCTGATGAACAAGTCACTTTATAATCAATAGGACGCAAATGTCACCGATGACCTTGGCGCTGGTTAGTGTGCAAGAATATTCATTGAAGTCCCACTTCACGTAGTCTTTGCTGTAGGGATTATCGGTGGTACTCTGCGAATCCCAGGGACGGTCCTCCAAAGCTATGTTTTTGATCCGGTTATACGCGAGGTATGTCTGCTACCTCACAAGACTAATAACATAGTACCTCATGGCTGCTTCCCCTCAACAGTTGTTGGACTTACTTGAAATCGAATACTCGAGAATCCCAGAAGGGATTGATGCCCTTTTCCTTGTCGGAGGGTTCTCAAACAACGAGTATCTGTTTGCTCATGTCGAGGTGAGTAATGACGGCCGTGGCAATGTCTTTGATCTAACTTTCCATTAACCAGCGCAAATTCAACTCGCGGGTGGCTATAATCTCGCGCCCTTCACACGCAGATGTTGCCACTTGTCGTGGCGCCGCGCAGTACGGACTCACTCAGCATTCGCTGGTTTCCCTGATTGTCTCGCCCAAAGCGTACATGTTCGTGACTATACTCAAATCCGATGAGGAGGATCGCATTAGGAGACCAGCTTACATCGATCTCGCTACCGGGCTATGTCGTAACCGGTATGAACTCGCACCTATCCCCCTTATCGATCCCTAGCTTGACGCAAGGAGTGCCCAGATTGAAATATCTCATAAACAAAGGCGCATTGTTACAGCGAGGCCAAAAGCTATCCGTCATGTTCGGCAAGCGTTCAACTTCTCCTGAAGGTGTCTTTATCCAGTCATTTTTGCGCGACTGTAACTAACGACTTCCTTAGATAATGAATTTGTTTTGCGCATCCATGCCTCAGAGTCATCCAAAATGCTGAGATACACTGATGAAGGATCCAAGGAGCTGTGTCGCTGGACGGTGAACCTTTCATCATTACCAAGTTTCCAGGAACAGGTAAAAAATTGGCGTGGTAGTCCGTTTGTAACAAGTTCGTCATCCATTCATCAGGCGACACTATCATCACAAGATGGCATGCTAACACATCTTTTCAGAATTCCAGTTGGCACTGGAGATTGACTCCACCGGTACGTGGGTTGAAGCCACTGTGTGGTTGATTTTTCTTGCTGATTTCGTGCTTAGAGGTGCGCGGTTATTTGATGTACGGGTATGAGGCTTTAGGCATGAAGGTCTTTGACCGATTGTCATGAGCTTTCTCGACGCCCTAGTATGCGAGTTCTGCTGGTGGCTACATTGTAACACGCCTTCCACGTACATGTATGACATGATCTCTGGTATAACGGGTAACGACAAAATAATTCCACCGTTTATGTAGTTGGTGCGATGAGCTTGCGGAGCGCTGGCGCATAGAGTTCATGGTGGCGATATCAAGAAAAGGAATGTCAAACGTTTCCTGGAAGATAGAGAAGAGGGAAAGGAACGAGAACTTCAGACAAGTGTTTCCATACCAGGGGAGCTTCAAAGCAGGACACTACATCACTTACTCCATTCCCCAAAACCCTTCAAAAAAAGCAATGTCATTGGGCGCCGCGAGCATGTGTATTTGCGAAAAAGGAAATCAGGTTCATCTACACTTGGCAGAGTGAAGGGAAAAAGAAGGCTGCCCCGGCCGTGGAGAGGTTTGAACTCTCAATGGAGACTACTTACATGATGCCAGAGGATTGGAGAACACACATCTCATGCAAGTACTACTGTTGCGTGGACAAGTGTACTTCTTCTATTGAAGATAAAAAGAGAATGTGCGTGCTCCGTGGTAAGCCTGGAGTCAAACTGCCTGCAAAGATGAGGTAAAAGGCAAGGTACTGCCCCGGAGAGGATTGAACTCTCAATCTCCCGATGATCATCCGAGGATGATGCGAAGTATCTCCGGTTGTCCTAACAGTCGGACGCCTTAACCAATTAGGCCACGGGGCATATTGGAAGCTCTTGCAAAAAGTAAGATATGAGAATCAATGTGGGTGACCGGAAGCGATTGGCCACTGAGATTTAAAAGGGGAGGCACGTACAAAACATTGATCGTCGGACAGCAGGGAGGTCAGCTAACTCGCTGTAGAATCTGGCCATTGTAGGGGGTGTGCTCAGCTCGTTAGCTCCGTGATCAACCCAATGGCAAGTGTAAACATATACCAATGTCATGCAGCAGTTACGCCCGGTAGGAGCCGGTGCGCTGTTCTGTCTCTTATAAGTGCTATAGAGCAATGGGTTAGCACTTCCGCGTTTAAGTGACCACCCAGGCCCGGATACACACTACCTTCGGACATTTCTAGATATCGCTGACTGAGCCCATTAGAGCCCCGTCAGCTTCTTCTTCAGATGTGAGATGAACGTGGATGCAGCAAGAGAATGATTCATACCAGATAAAATTCCGGCACTATCGCGCACGTCAACGCATTGTTACGCAAGGGATAGCATTCCCTCGAGCATCGTGGAGGAGGGTGTGATCCGGTGGCCAGATGCTATTGCGCTACTTCAGCGTCTTGGCAACGGAACCCCAAGGTGAATAGCAAGTCCGGATGCTGTGGTGAATTCCACAGCCTAGAAGTACTTGATCGCAGAAGCCTCATCGCCTACCTATGACGAAAATACTAGTAGCTGACGCTGCTAGGAAGGGCGCGCGGGATTGGGGCGATCAAAGGAGAGGGGCGCAGCGAGGGGCTAAAAGCAGCAAGGATAGAGTGGTTGTTTCAAACGGCGGGCGTTCACATAACGACCGGCCTGCTGACCCCAAGTTTCTCGAGTCTCTCTCGACGAGCTTGATCCACCCAGCGCTTTCATTATTGCCCGTGTGAGCCTGGGGTAATTAAACGGGAGATAGGGTGTGAAAATCACTCGAGCTCCACGCGCGATGGCTAGGGGAGGCCCATCGTCGAGATGGGTTTGTGCTGGGCGCGGTTTCGATACGTATATGGGAGCAAATTTAGGGCACACATCAACCGAGGGCATAGTAGGCGACACCGGTACCGTAAAGATCGAGCGGGATTGCGCGGCCTCCCGCGACCGGTGCTCCCGCAGCTTCTAGCACCAGCCATTAATCTGACTCGAGTCCATCGTGAAAACACGCATCGAAGTGGTCCATATGAGGGTGGGTCCCGAAGATCCCCAAGTTGTGCGTCCGGAGTATACTTGTGCGTACGATGCGCAGAATCGCGTTTCTGAGGTTCAGTATCGAATAGGGCCGCACTGCGTGGCCAAGGTCAGAAAATGCCCCTAATAGTTGTGTGCCCGTAAGTCTTTTCGAGATCTGGCGTATGCAGCGACATGCCATTTATATTCCTGCGTAGCTCTACGATGCTTTGCTCAATAAATGATCTATATAGAGAATGACATTGAGATCCGAGGATGTTCAAGGATATGATATCTTGAGAACACGTACTCGGTCTAAGCTAAAAATGCCACCAACGCCATTACACGCGTTACAAAATCTGGGCGAGAAGATAAAGCATCGCCATGAGGAGCTGGGAGTGATCGCGGGAGGGCTGTTAATTTGAGGGCACGAAATTTTCATCTTGGGCAGGATAGGATATAAGTACGATACGAAGAGGTGCCACGGCACCTAGGTCTGTTTATAATGAAGAAAAGGTGATGAACACGGCATTAAGATAGAACGCCTGGAGAGGGGAAAGATGCATACTACGCGATTCTGCAACTCGCTGCATAACCATAGTGCCGGAGTCGCTGCGCTTTCTTCATCTCTCATATTTTGTTCAAGTCTACCGAACGCCAACCGCGTTCAGATGCCCAAAGCTTCGAGACCCCAATGCACGCGAGAGGGAAGACAAGGGTGCGTGCTCGGTAGATACTGCTGAGAATGCGTCATGTGGGTCTACACGAGGGCAAGCTATGGAAGGAGATATGATACTTTGGGCGCGGCGCACGCTGACATTAATGAGTCGGAGCGGGTAGTGGAGTGGGGATCATTGGCGCGCGCCAAGTGAGTATGGTGTTATATTGCATTCCAGCACCCCGGGGCTGCGAACGCGCGAGCAGCGCAGAGCAGCGCAGTGATGCACTGATGAGAGGGTGCCATCCTGGGAGTCGAGGAACGATCGAGAGAGTTCAGCACATAGGCCTATTTATATAGATGAGGGTGAGATGTTGTCCAGAGAAAGATCGCAGCAGCCGAGAGGACGAGAGGGGAAGACTCGCAACAGATCGCCAGTAGTACTACTGTGCGCTGAGTACTGGGCGCTGACGACACTTGGTCGACGTCGCTGGGGATGACTTTTGAATCCGGTATTGGTCTGGCGCTGACCGGCGGCTCCGAGTCTCGCGCTGTCTCGCGCGCGATGGTCCACGGCCAATACGTACCTGCTCTGATGCCAAGTGACCAGTTCGTTGCAAGGTCTCAGATAGTCAGATCTCACAATCATAATATTGTTCCAAAGGCTCACGAATCCGGCGTTACCTCGCATTCCTCAAATACCGCCATTTCCTTGCGCGCGAGACTTCTGGCCCGGGGCCACGCCGCTGCTCCTTGCAAGGTGGCACCGATCACCACTTTCTCGGCATAAATCCGGTAGTCAACCGTCGGCTGTGGAATCATTATAACTGGTGCAAGCAAGGGGAGATACATCGGGTGCGTCGGCGATAATCACTGCTCGTTGCACAATGGAATCTGGGCGTCTGGCAGACCTTGATTTACGACCAGAATATAGCTATCCGGACACATCGCTGGGCGGGAGACGTACGCTTTGGGCATAGTGCGCATGTCCGCTATCTGTCGCACTCGACCCCTTCATCTGCGCATGTGGCCATTGTAACTATAAACTTATACGCTGAGGACTTCAAGTATAACGCAGCCGTACCTCCTCTAGTCGTCGCATTCTTTTCTACCAGATATCTTGACGCGTGCTGTTTAAGCGTGAATGGAAGTATAGTGACCTTAACGTTCATGCCATTGTCGCTGACCCTCATGCGCTCCATTTGGACTTACATGCATTTATGTGCCTAATGCGGTAGGGGCCGCGCACGCAACACGCGCGCCTAAACCAACCTCTTACTCTCATCATCGCTCGCGACGAAAACCCCCCACCTCTTTGCTATTAGCACCTCTTTCGCTGCTTCATCGCACTGCTCACCCGCTGCGCTTGGGATATCGCTAAACTTGCCTGAAACCTGCGCTTTCGAAATCATGGACAACTCTCGGCCGCCGTTTTCTTCATCCCGGCCTTCTGATTCGTCCTCTTATCCACTCCGTCGACCCCCTCGCACGCCCACTCTATCCTCCAACTTTTCACAGCCCATGGCTGGACGCACCATGGGCCGGTTCTTCAAATCTATGGGGACACGGCTGGAAGAGCTCCTTGAAGGTGGCACCGACAAACATGGCACCGACAAAGGTAATCCGGCCGCTTGCTTGGGACGTCGCAGCGTATCTGGTACTCACGAAAATTACGCCAGGACCCGCACCCGTGCCGATTATTCAAGATGCGTACGCGACACTCTTGGAGATTGCAGAACACAGCGCGAACTTTGATTCGTATATACGGTACATCCGCTGTTTCAATCCGATTGAAAGGCTCTACTCTAAAGCTGTTTACCTATTTCAGTGAACATGTACTCAAAAGCAGCATGGATACCCTCCGCATGGCTCAGGGTCAATGGAATGCAGAGTATGGAGAGAGGGTGACCCCGGCTGTAAATTGCTTTGTTGGGTATGTAGTAGTTCATCCTTCCAAGGGGTATAAACCAAGAGACTGATTAACATAAATAGACAACTGAAGGATATCCAATCCCTCTTGTTGGTCATACCCATCATATCACATGTTGACATAATAATTAACATACCATGCCTGCCATTCATTAGTGAGGAAGTAGAGAAGAAACTCCTTATCCTGCATGAATTCTCAACCATGTTCAATATACTGGTTTGTGTGATTTTTCTCAGCTCTATTTTTCCACCTGTATTTATGACCTTCCCAATCCCCAGGCAACCACTCAGCTCCCACCAGAGACCAGGGACCTTGATGGGTTATACCAGAGCATTCTGCAAACTATCCTTTCACAGAGTGCTCAGGATACTCCAGATGTCCAGGGTGTTCTTGGGCTGTATGCTAACCTGAGCTTGAAGAAGTCACTCTCTTTCAGTGGTGTCCAACTACTGTTGGAGAATCATGACCAGGTTGTCAAATGTGCTAAGAGGCATCTCAGCCCTCTGATCCAGTCTGGTGACAGCACCACAGCTCAGGATATTCACCCATCCTTCTCTGCTTTCCTAGTGAGGAGATTCTCTGGGTCTCTTTCCTACAGTCCCCCAGATATCCCCACTGGACTTGCCATTGGCTGTTTTCAGCTGATGAATGCACAGCTCAAGCAGAACATCTGTGGTCTTGCTGATGATGCAACCCTGAACAAGGACATCCCAGCTGGTGTCATTGCTCAGCACATCAGTGATGGCTTGCAGTATGCTGTGTGTCATGGGATGGATCACCTCCTAGATGTGCAAGCCAGTGGCTCCAGCCCCATCTTGCTGGAAGCTGTGTGCACATTTGTGGACAGGCATCTGCTTCACTGGCTTGAGGCTCTTAGCCTGTCAGGGGGGCTGGGGATAGGGAACAAGCTGTTCCAAGTGAGCTCATGGCTGGAGGCCAGTACAGATATTGCCATACCAAAGCCAAAGTATACTCATTGAATAATGACCTCTTTTAGGGTGCCAGCCCACAAAAAAGACACCATAGGGACATGCTTCTTGATGCCCAGAGGTTCACCCTAGGCCACCAGGAGGGGCTTGAAGCAGCAGCACTACAGGTGTATCAGTGTTTGCCACTCTTCACACCATTGGATAGTGCACTCTGCACCCATTATGGGATGGATAGTCACAGTGCCTGGAGGGTGTGGGGCACAGATGTGAGCTGGCCACCATTGCTAGCAAAGCTGAGGGGCCATACTGGCTCAGTCCAGTCAGTTGCATTCTC